TGTGTCCTGGTGTCTGGTGAAATCAAATCCATGTCGCTGGCTTTGTGAATATCCTTGGGTTTGTACACACTGTCTGGCCTCCAATCACCGAATCATTGAATGCGCAGAAATCTGCAAACACTTCTCCATTCTCGTTCATTTCATCAAGTGCTTCTCTTCCTGTGTTGTCTGCTCACAGTTTGCCATTCATGTTGCCCATTAGAATTTTGATATCGCCATCTGGGGTGGGGTCCTGTCCATTACTGGTTGCAGTTGTTTGTAGAATTCCTTCTTCTTCTTCTTCTTCTCTTGATTCGCATTATTCGTTGGCGCGTAGCATTGCATGATTTTGACTTTCCTTCCTTTTGGTTTGAATCTTGCTATCATGATGCTGATCCTGCAGGAGGAGATTGGTTTCTACTGTATGGGACCCTTCGATATTCTTGGGGACATCATGATAGCCTCTCGAAAACTCAGTGTGCTCGTGGTTGTCATCTGGGTGACAATATCGGATTGGGTTATTGACTCTCCAGTTAAGAGTTTGTAGAGTCCACTTCTATTCCATCTGCTTTCGCAGATTCCTAGCACTTCCATGCCATACCTCCTTATCTCTTTTGCAATCTGGACAGCCTTGCTGGGTTCATTCGTGGTGCCTGCCTTATGTCCAACGTTCCTCCTTTATCCGGGATTGGGACCGGCTAGTAATTCGTGACCTAGTTAACTGGACGACGGATCCAGTGCAGGCCCTTTTTACTCTTCGGTGATCACGTCACCAATGCTTCAATTTCCGGTGCTTCTGCCAATTCGAGATTTGGAACGATCTGAATCCAAGGGGGTCATTCAGAGGCTGTCCTCACATTCAACTTAGTTTGCTACATATGTCATGACTTCTAATTGGAAACAAGTCACTAATGAGCACTGGAAAGCAATTCAACCTTCAATTGGTTCTCGTTAATTAACGTTCTCGCCAGAAAACCTGACGTTACTTTGTGCATCCTCTTTGACGTCCAGCACTTCCAGCTTTTCAGTGCCTCTGCAACTGACGACAGTTTATGATAAACAATTTGAAATCAATAAACCCTTACAGAGCTTCAAAACTACTTGATCTTATTACTATTGTGAATATTCGTTCTGTCGTAAGCGTGAACTGTCATCTGAAATTCTTTTTCTAACTCATGTAGAAGATATTACATTTCACTGCTACTTTCAACGTCAATATCTGCACTTAATTTCCTTTATTTATTTCAGATTTGCGGTTAAAACCAGGAGATTTGCTATGCTCATATAACTTCATGTTATTTCAGTAGTGATGTGTACTTTGGATCTCTTGAAACTAGGAAGAAAGCATTTCATGAAATTCTAAGTCTATATATTCTGCTCATCTAATTCTCCTCAGGAAGAATCAGAATTACGACTTACACCATCTACTTATAAAGTTCCTCAAACTTGAATAACGTTTAACTATTTAAAGTAAACCAGTTGCTTTTTCTATTTCAAACCATTCAAACTACATTACCGATCGTAATCTACAATGCAAACACTGTAAAAGAATGAGGTAGTTAGAAACCAACCCAGTTAACATTTAGACCTTAGTAGTTAAATTCGAATAGTAGTAGTAATAATAACAGGTGAATATTTTGATCGTTTGGAACGAAACTCGTTAACGTTACTATTTGACGAACTTAATTCATGCAAACAAAATATTAAGCAGTCTCAGTATGATCAGTTGACTTTTATTTAGCCGTGAAGTATATAGAAGATGACTAACTGTCAATGTTTATACTGCGTGATGACTGAAGGGAACATGAAAACTTGGGTTATGGAGAGATTTTACCTTTAATCATAACCCAGTATCAATACTAGTCTTCTAAACCACGACTGTCTGACATAGTCAAAATGATCATCAATTTTTACGATAGGTGATCAGTTTTGAACTAAACAGCTGTACTATCGATACAGTTGGTAATGAAAATGTAAACACCGTACCTTCTTAACAGCCAGAAAATCTGAGGTTTCACTTCAGTTCTTGTCCCAGCTCCAAGTACCACTTTAGTCTTCACATGTATGGACTTTCCAGCAGAAATCTCGTGGGATGATCTACTTGTAGAGTTGAAAACATTAAAGCAACGCGTCCTCAGTAGGACTAACACATCCTGTTAGAGCACTCTCTTATCCTAAAGCCCACCCAACTGTCAGGCTTCAATCCATCCACACTCAATAGGTAACCAATTTGTTGACTTTACTCACCTCCTAACGGGTAGAATTTGTGTGAGATGCACCTCACTGAAGTTTCCACAACCTCGCAGACCTGAGTATAGGTCACCTTTCCGAAAGGACATTCCTCTAGGTGGCCTGGCCCATGAACACATAATCTTAACAAATTTATCGCAGTGGCTTCCTTCGAGATATTAAAATACAATCAAGGCTATGGTTAGCGACAGCGGCTTCCCAGATAGCATATCTCCCACCTTCCCAAGGTGGGCCAACATCCGCCTTTGGTGACTGCTTCAACAACAATGACTACCCGAATTACGAAGCTGGATTCCTTTTACATTTTGGCTACACTGCTCCTAGTTCACTGGGTGGAATCCTGACGTTTTACAAAACTGTCCGTGCTTTGGAGACCCACACCACTGATCTTCCGCATATGGACCCCGCCGACCACGGTTTTCGGTAAGTTAGATTTACAGCGGAGCCACAAGGAGGCTCACAGTCGTACGCAACTGCGTTGGAGATGTATTTCACAGCATATGAAAAACCTCAGTTCCGGCCAGCCAATAACACAAATCCAGCACCACTTGACCGTGCCATGTAGAGCTTGTTCTTACTGATGCCCTGGAAAGTGACTATGGAGTGGATCTATGCCTAGAGAATCATACTTCCTTCGGATATCGTCAGTGGAGTTACCGTAAGAAATGTAAACACTGTACCTCGTTACTACCTTGGAAACTTCTAGCTGGATTTATGATTTACTGCTTCATATACACCAGCTGATCCGATTCAAACGTTCTGGCTGCCAAGCTGTTTAACTTGATTTTCTTCAATTATATCATTGAACAAATGAAACCCAAAAGCAGCTAGTATAGGTTGTTAGTGCCTCTATCATTAGAAAACATTATCAAAAGCATCACCGTGTAAATAAAAATATCCTTATCATCAAGTTGTTCAGCGTAATACTGATGTATTTGCTGGAGTAAATCATACACTTGGTTCCCTTTATGAACTTGAACAACGCAACGATAACACCATTTGCATAATGAGATGACGTCATTTTATAATACATAGGATTTTTATCAACCGCATACGACCTGAATAAATAAATCAGTGAGTAATGGATCAGTGAAATGATCCAGCTTCAGAAAACCTGCTTTGATAGGACAGTATTTAAATTGTTACAGCTTCTCTTCAGTCCAATATAAATGAGGTTTAGTTACGTGCTTATTTATTCAAACTCAGTGAATATGCACAGTTAACACTTTAGAGGAAGAGACAAGACGTTGATCGAGAACTACTAACCAGCACTTTAAATGTACATGCAGTCACACATAAATAGGGGAGGAGTCATTGCTTAAAAAAATTACGGGCCACAGAACATATTTCAAGGTGACTTCCAAAACAAAAGTATTCGCCTGACACCGTTGACGCTGGAAGCAAACTTCCGAGCTCCTTAATGGCTAAGCAAAATATTGGAAAGTGGCATAAAACAGATATACAAACATCACTTAAGGCCATCGATAAGACCTGTTGGGGATGTACTTTAAGGTTTCCTAAGGCACTAGCCACTAGGAAGTTTAAGCTACATTTATGGCTTCAAAAACAGTTTATCATCCCACTTAACCTTCCCAGGTAATTTCAGCTTTAAACCCGAAGTTAATTTTTGGTTTTTGTTGTTTTATTGATCTTTTTTGTTATTGTGACCTTCAACACAGTCTTTTAATTTGGCCTATAATCATTTTCCTACCCCCTTAATCTGTAATTTTTCACGCTAATGTCAATGATAAGCATGTGTTTAGTCAGATTGTCCAAAATGTGTTACACAAGAAGCACCCATCGTGGCTCAGTGGTCTAGTGAATAACTCTCTGGCCTTTAGGAGCGATCGGTCCCGAGTTCAAGTTTTATTGTCAACAACGTCGCTCACCGGGAAGCAGATACATCCGGTTGACGAGTCTCAAATACGATGAAACACGCGTCTTGGATTCCACCGCTAGCCACAATCGATCAGCGATAGAATAAATACGGGCAACTATGTAATAGCGTGAAAATAATATCTTAACGACATGACAGATGGGTGAGATATATTACCGTAATCATAACAAACATACCAATAATGAACCACAGTCAGTGTGAATATGGACGGCTGTATGCATAAAATGAAGCTATTAATGTTTAATACGAGTTGGAGTTTATGAGGATTTTATTTCTAAGGTAGTATTCGTCACAGAAATGACATCTTTCGAAGAATCACTGAAAACCTGGTAGCATTTGACAACCGCTTTATCCTAGTAAGCTACTCCTCAGCAGTACGCATCCACATCCCCGCCAGGGAATGAACGCAGGACCTTCAGATCTCGTGGTGAATATGCCAACCATTCAGCCACTGTTTCGGAGATCAACAGCCCACAGTTTCTAACTTCTCTCAATTTGTGATACAGCTCGTACTGCTGAGGAGTCCTTCGCTAGGACGAAACAGCTGTTCGTTGTTTCCAGGATTTCAATGTTTCTGCAGCTTACGACAATCCCTGATAAATGCAACCTTATTAATATTGATTTGAAAAGGTAAAAGGGTGTAAAGTCATTCATTAACACGGCAGTAATAAGTGAGTAACTGTCTCCTTTTTAACGCAATTCTCTTTGAACTCGTCGGACGTCAATGGCTTCATCGGAAATTCTTTTGTCTGTTAACCGCTGTTAAAGACCTCAGTGGATTCGTTTGGTATGCAGAATAACTGTTGAATATATTTTGAACTACCAATAAAAATTGCAAATTTATTAGTTTTGTTTTACTTTTCATTTATCTTAGAAATATGCTTATTAACGAATGCACGACGTGTAGCGAGTGTAGAAGCTGAAACCTATTGTACACTTTATTCATTGGACCAAAAACATTTTTATGATGTCTTAGAAAACTATCCGGAGATGAGAGTAACACTAGAAAAGGTTGCCGCAGAACGTTTACAGTCTCTTGGTCGTCGAACATCGATCATACAGTCATCAAAATTTATAAATGAACAGTCAGATTATGCTTTAAAAATTGCTGATGAGGTAAGAAAAATTGTTTAATACAATCTTCAATTTTTTCTTGAGTTTTGATTCATGGGTGATACTGGGTGATAACTGAAGTTGGAATGAAAATTTGAGCAGCGGTAGGATCCGAACCAAGGACTTCTGGGTGAGATACTCTATAAGCTGAGTTACGAGACTTAACTGCTTACCAGATTTTCATTTCACTTTATTCACCAAGTGTTTGCCCGAATACCATGCCAATCTGCGATGTGGTTCGATCGCTGGAAAGTACTCACAATAGCTATCTAATCAGGGCTTCTCATCAAAATCCAAACCAACCTGAATTAGAAAGGATGGCATCATACTGATTATCAGTTTGATTTTGTGAGATAACCGTGGTTTGGCAGACTTGTATTGATACTGGGTGACTAAAGATTTTTAAAAGTGTGATGCATGAAAGGAAACTGAGACCTAGTCTACTGCTAGGTATTGTAACTCAGCTGGTAGAGCACGGAGACGATAACATGCAGGCCGCTAGTTAGAATCCTGCTGCGGCCTAGATCTACATTTCAGCTTCAAGTTTGCCCAACAACAGCTACCTCATATAGTCAAACTGACAGCTGATTACTTCGATAGATTTGGTAACAAAAGATAATGTGTGAATTCCATACATGTCGATCCCAAGACTCATGAAGAGCATGCAACCTTAAAAACCTTGATTCTGTGATACGCAACCATTCCTTTCATTGAAACTAGACAAAACTTCATACGCGGAAAAAGACCTAAGTCTTAAGCTTTCATTTTTTTCCCTTCGGTTCGTACTGGAACAAAGGCCTTCAGTAGCACGTCACCATTCCACTCTCCACTCTGCAGTATTTTCAACCTGCCTCCATGACTGCCCACAAACTCTCACTCCTTCCTCACATTATCTCCTCCATGTCACCCTCACCTCGGACGACCAACTCGTCGTTTCCCCTTTGGATTCCACTCGACGACCTGGTCTGGTGCGTTATGTCTTCAACCAGCCTTCTCAGTGAATGCCCAATCCCATCCAATCTATCTCCACTTTCTTCTGCACATCTGTTGGACGATAAGTTCTTGGTTGGTTCGTTGTCAGGACAGACTTCCTTGTTGTTTATTCATTCTGACCAACTGATCTTCAGTGTCGAGCCAGGCAGGCTTTCACCAACTGGCGTCATTTTTCCTCCCCGATTCCAGAGAGGAATAATTTTGTTATTATTTTTTACATATCGTTTGTGCTTTGAAGTTTCCTTAGCGGTTAGATTTGTTTTCCGGGGTAGGGTTGCTAGTGGTGTTCCCAACCTTCCCTCTTTCCCCGGGCTTAGGACCGGCTAGTAACTAGTGAACTAGTTAACCAGGGGAGGTTAATCACACTATACTAATATACCATAATTAATTTATGAATTCATCAGAATTTGATGCACTGAACTAGATATGCCTAGACTGATTTCAAATTCCTGATCTATCTTCCACAAAATTTAATATCAAATGTATTGTGACATTTCAGTATCATAATCAAGATAACAAACTAGAGGTGTCTGATAACGATGTGAAAAGCGCATAGATATTAGTTTGATTTTAAATAAGTGAGATCGAATGGATAGATGAATATTCGCCATTTTTAAAGCCTTTTCTTTGCACCACATGAAAAATAAATCGGCTTCTGCTCACCTATTCCTGATGACTTGAGTGAAACACCTACCCAACATCAACTGACATTCCATTTCCTGCAAGGCAAAAACTCGGTGGTAACCTTCTTATTTCAAATTGGTATTCATCATTCACTAACCTCAGCTGGGGAATCATTGCCAACAGGGGGGCACTGCACTCATGCAATGTCTTCCTGAAAGACCTAAAATCAGTATAAAGAAATGCTTTAGCCGAGGATTCAATTTTAACTTTATATTTTCCCCTAGGTTCCGAGCAGAACATAGGCCTTCAGTAGCACGTCACCATTCCACTCTCCACTCTGCAGTATTTTCAACCTGCCTCCATGACTGCCCACAAACTCTCACTCCTTCCTCACATTATCTCCTCCATGTCACCCTCACCTCGGACGACCAACTCGTCGTTTCCCCTTTGGATTCCACTCGACGACCTGGTCTGGTGCGTTATGTCTTCAACCAGCCTTCTCAGTGAATGCCCAATCCCATCCAATCTATCTCCACTTTCTTCTGCACATCTGTTGGACGATAAGTTCTTGGTTGGTTCGTTGTCAGGACAGACTTCCTTGTTGTTTATTCATTCTGACCAACTGATCTTCAGTGTCGAGCCAGTGTAGGCGGCAGCTGTTGGTGAATGTCTGCAGTTTGTTGGAAGTGCTTTTCGTAAGGCACCAAGTCTCTGAACCATCACATAGAGGCACTGACTTGAATGAGTTAGTGTTGAAAATCCGGATCTTGTTCTTTGTGCCAAGTGCAGTGCAGTAGATCTCCACACTGATTTCGGATTAATGGAAATCCGTCTTGACACCCTCGTCTGTGACCCCCAGTGGTTGAAAGGATGCTTCTTTGGTAGGTGGGTGAAACAGACTACTTCCTATGCGTTTCTCCAGTTCATGATGACTGGTGCCTCTTCTTGTTGATGTTGAGGTTGCTGTTGGTTGGGTATCTTCGTCACCTCTGTCTTCTCTACATTCACTTGAAGTCTCGTTTTCGCTGCCCTCCCTCGTCTGTCAACTTGTTACTTTTCGCCTGTAGATCTTCGAGTTTTTGCGATATAAGATATTAGACATAAATTATCATCGCTGGCTAAATCCAAATCTTCTAGGCTCTTTTCATCGGTCAAACAGCGTATGACCCCCTTGCTGCATGATCCAGCCCACCACAATCACAAAGATCTTCGTTGATAGTAGGCGGCAGCCTTGTATTACTCCTGTCTTCACTTCAAAGGCGTCACTGAGCTTTATGTTTTCAATCAGTTGGCATGTGGCATCGTCGTCATATAGCTTAGCTGTTGAATGAGGTTGATAAAGGTTTGTGGCACTAAAACCGTAGTGTTGAAGCAGTTGCCGAATTACTTTTCCTTCGACGCTATCTTCGGCCTTTCAAAGTCGATGAAGTTGAGATAGAGATCCAGTTGACTGCCATTCTATACTCTTTTCTATTATGTTGTGTAGTGTAGCGTTGCAATTTGCTTCGCACATGACTTGTTCTTCCCGAAGCCAGCCAGCCAGCCAGCCTGTTCCGGTCGCAATTTTGAATCCAGAGCATCCTTCAGTCTCTCCAGGATGATGCGGCTTAATATTTTGCTTGCTTTGGGTGGACAGGAGTGAGGGATGATTCCTTGCCAATTCTTGCAAAGGCTTAGGTCTCCCTTGTTTGGGATTTTGACAAGCTACACCTACTTCCAGTCAATCGCCAGGTACCTTTCCTTCCTTCCTTCCTTCCTTCCAAACCTTCTGTAGTAGTGGTGTGAGCCTGTGCACTGTTGTCTCTGCATCCATTCTCAGTACTTCTTGTGGAATTCCATCTGGTCCTACTGCTTTTCCGAATTTCAACAGTTTTATGGCATTCAGAACATCAGCTTTCGTTGGTGTGCTTGTGTTCACTGATAGTTTTGTGGCTGGGCTGCTGGTGATATTTCTGGACGAGTTGCAGGTGGTGCTTGTGGTGGTCGATTCAAGAGCTTTTGAAGTGGTCATCTCATTAGTTCCTGCGTTTCTCCCCTTTGGTAACTAGCTTTCCTTCTCTATCTTTCATTGGTTTCGTCTGAGTTGATCTCTTCCCAGATAGTAACGTGGTTATTTGATATGGTGTTGTCAGGTCTCTTCTACCAACCTGCAGCCTGTTCTGCTCCACTTGCAAGTATGTCGTATAAGAATGTATATAAAGACGTATTTTATAACTAAAGAAGCCTAATTGCTATTATGTGCCATTTACTGATATCTGCATACTATTACTCCTCTACAAAGTCGAAACGATATGAACGGTAACAGGTTTCTCCATCAGTCTGTATAGCTTATAAGAAGGTGGATAGTTATTATTTTAATTTCTGAAACAGCCAAGGATAGCCTAGTTTGGCAGACTCTTCAATTACTCACACCTGTGATGAATAAAATAAAATGAAAATTCGGTGATATTACGAACCAAACTTGCAGTATATGAGCAACGATTTACTCAATCTACCTGGCGAAGATTTTGCAGACGACAAGGTCTAAACGCGCCGTAGGCCACTAAATATTTTACAAGACAAGATGGGTATACATATGATCATCCCAGCAGCTAACTAGTCATGTTACTTGTATAGATCAAAAGTAACCAGCTAATCAGCTAAAATGCTTATCGTTCACACGGTACTTGGATACATTACTTGATTACTGAAGCCAGTAATCACATATAGTCATTCTACTGGTAGTGCAGTGGGGAAACTAGATGTAAGTAGATATAAGTACAACTTTAACTGTAAAATAAACCTTAAGTAAAATGCTTCATTGTATCCACTTTATTTTTTGCTGGTCTTACTTGCAGGTTATAAAACATCAAGTGAGTTTTAATACTATTTGTAATTTAACTTCAATATCATGACAATAAATAATAAACACAAGACAAAGTTTATTTACAGTATTATATTTTTCTGTGGCTTAGAGAGCGAAGAACAGTCAGGCTAAGCAATATCATTCACCAAACGGCATATCAGGATGAATGGCCCAACAGTCTTTACTGTAGACAGTATACTAACTGACCTGTAACACCCAGGCTCTCAGTTCTTTTCCTTCTGAAGCCTAGGTTTTCGTTTCAGCTTCGGTCATTTTTCTTTCAGTCATGAAAAGCATGTTTTTTTATCTTTACTTCTAAAAACTTTAAATTTGTAGCACATACCGTTTGTTATCTGAGACTGTTTATCTCTTATATCACACAATGAAAAAGCAATATATACTAGATAACATTTAAGGTACAATTTATTGTCTATCGTTGTATCAAAGACATACATTTCAATGGAAAAGCCTAACAGCGTACACCAGGAGATTTTGGTTCATCCATTAAAAAGCTGTGATGACATAAAAATTGAATGAACTAGTCTACACAAAGTTAAGAATTATCATTTTTAAAACTGCTTTCTTCTGAAGTCAACAATATGCTAAGTGATGTTTTGAAATGTTCTTGTTATTTATTCAAACGAGAACAACAATCAGCTTCTAAGTTCTCAAACGTCATTATCCAAATTAAAGTGAGAGAATAGTCATTAATTTACATGTAAAACTTGGGCACTGTGGTAGAATTTAATCCCATATTAGCTTAGTTTATTTGATTTACAACACACATTAATACAGTTTTATTTACTTGACATATCACTGTGTGTTATAAATCAAACAAATAAATCTAATGTGAGAGAATAGTCAGTTTAGAGTATCGATACAGTGCAGTCCTACTGGATGAAGAAATTCAAAAATGGCGAAAATTTCTATTGTCATGAACGGAAATCCAAGTGGTCGGTATGTAGTTAGTAGCTTCTTAACAAAGATCATGCATCAAAAATGCCTATTTAGATATTCTTTTTCAATTAGGTCTTCGTCTTGGCTCCATAATAATATATAGATTTAAAGTTCAATGAAAATGCCAATCAAGTGGTGGGGATTGATGAACAATAATTATAGGTTCTATGTAAATCATGAAGATGATAAGTTTGAGAAATCAAGATGCAAATAATGAACACAGTAATTGTACACGACTAAAGATGGTAGTTATAATAATGTGAAACAGGTAATTCTTAGGCGAACGGTATGGTAAGTGGTAAAGTAGTTGGAGTGTTTTCCTCGAATGTTCAGTCGTAAGAGACAAACAATTACGTAAGAACAACAAAACAAATGAATACTGGTAGAACAAGGTGAAGAGATGTACAAGCTAATACTAAGTGCTATTTTATGTTAATGGCCATGGTATTGAAGCTCGTCAAACAAACTTCTTTTGAATACATAGGTTCGGTTTGTAAAGGTAGATTGAAATTGCCTCTACTATATGGCGTAAGCAAATGCGAAATCCATGTGGTAAGTTAAATGGTCTACAATAGATAATTTAAAACGAATTTCTGGTATCCAATATGTGTCAAATAAGTGTGCGAATGTGGAGCTCCTTGTTGTTGTAATCTGCCCTTATTCAACATGATTGGTGGTACTCAAAATTCTACAATGGACCTGCCTCATTGTAAGCCCAATGTAACTAGATGCACATGAGCCTCTGAACTGATAGATGCACACAGATAAAGTAGGACTAGGCAAATCATCTTTATTTTTGCACCTAGAATCGTGTGGTTGGAGAAGATGGGACATAATTTAGCGGCTGGAAATGCTCTTTTTATGCGTAATGTGATAACCACACTAACAATGTCACTGTTGAATTCCAGTTTCAAGATTTGCTTTTTAGGAACTGTTACCTTCTTGTCTTGTCTTAACCTTCAAAATATCCATCTGCTTAGCTATAAACTTTGCTGGATAACCATTCCTACTAACTAGGTCAAGGATAATGGCGAACTCTTAAAATAAATAGCAGTTTCAGAGCTCTGACACGGTAATGTGACTTATATTGCTACTTTATTCCTACATATCTGTGTTTCCACTTCCTATAACATTGTATGGACTAATATATACGTGGACGCTTGAACAATAACCTTCAGATTCTCCACTTAGTGATAGCTCACTTCCTCCATAATGGAAAAAGACTGTGATATTGTACTGGGCGTTGCTGATAAGAATGGATATAAGTAGTATATGTTGAGAGGGTGGCAGAAATCATAACGAATTACCAGCAATGGGTAAGGATTCCGCCAAGAGAAAAACAAGAGACAAGCCACGCGTATGAAGAGCAAATCAAGAAAGAAGCAGAAGAGAAAATGAAACATACTTTGCAAATAATTATTGTTCATCAATCCCCACCACTTGATTGGTGTTTTCATTGAACTGTAAACCTATATGTTATTGATTCTGGGTGATGAATGAAGGTGAAATAAAGATTTGAACCGCTGCCGCATTGAAAAATAACTTTCAGATCCCACTTTTAACGGTCACTCAGTCCCAGTTGATAGAGCACGGAGGCGGAAACCCGGTGGTCGCTGATTCGAATCCGACCGCGGTCCAAATTTATTTTTCACCTTTAAACATCGCCTAATAGGAATACTAGTTTGCAAAACTACGGCCATCTCAGACAGTCATATTGATAATTTACATATTATAGTAGAGCTGAAGACGGAGACCTAATCGTAAAGGAATATACTTCTTCACTCAATCAGTCTTTTTTCTACACGATTATGTATCATAAGACTAATCTGCGTCAGTACAAAATTTTCTGACAAACAATTCAGTGTGGTTCGATATATGCTTCTCGAAAGAGTATGATCGAGTTGTTCTGAATGACAACTATTGCATTAGAAAAGTTGAATACCTATGCAGAATTCATCATCGGTGAGATGCTTGCTGGCCAATTAGAAGTCCGGCACCAGAATGTTCAATAATTCATTTTACAACTGTTCTTTATAGCATAGACAGCATGTAACAGATCTTAGTTTCCATCCCTTCTCTCCGTGAATTTCATGTGATGATATAATGTGATACAAGTGAGAAGTGAGCTAATTGGTGTGTGTATAAGAAATCAAAACACCATTGATCAATGTGACATGTAAGGACTTAAGCTTACATCTTTCAAGAGTAAGCGTAATGAACTTACCAGTATTCAGCATCTTTCTTGAACTTCACAGTGCTGTTTATTTGCTTGAGATCAGTAGAGGTGGAAAAACTCAAACCCGCATAATGCCATATTATATTATTTCGTTCTTGCTTCAAATTCCTTAACACTAATTTGACTTTTATTTAGCATCATGCAACGTACTGCTCAAAAGACGATTGTACTAACCCATATTACAGTGACAAAACAACTAATCAACCGTTTAAATCGGATTATTTGATTAAAAATGAACCAATCACTGCAGATAATTCAAATGATGTGACAAATCCTGTTTTCATCAAATCAAAAGATGGTATGGAATGTACTCATCAACAAAATCATCTTGACAATCAAAATAAATCGAAACAGAATCAACCTACTATAATTACGACAAGTGTACACTCCTCAAGTGAATGTAGAACCACTCATTAACAGGCTTATTTATATCAGGTGTATATATATATATATATATATATATATATATATATATATATATATATATACATAATTTGTTATTTACACTTGTGATCTGAGCAAATCAAAGATCCATTTGAAATCCAATTTGTCAGTAACTTTCTACCAACAATGATTTTTGTCCTAATGATTGTAAAAGACTTCTTCATAAACGCTAAATGCATACATGTCTCATATTACAGGTATATTTATATGAATCTCAGAGCTAGGATAGACTGTGAACACATCATTTTTCTATATCTCATTATTCACATACACAGAGACAAATATAGTAGATCCTACTTTAGGTGGCATATCAGTAGTGTAGAAAATTACTTCTTCAATTAGCCTAACACAGAGTTTCTTTACAATTATTAAAATAACTCAAGCAAATAACAAATATTCAGGTTTCATGCCTTAACAACTCGTATGGTGTTTTGATTGAATACAGTGAAAACCTGTATATGTTCTTTATTTCACTTCTTTTACTGATTTTGTTCGACCTTATGAACTTGATTCTCTTATTTAATAATTAAGATGGTAATTAATAATAAAACAAATGAAAAACACACAGTGTGTAGTAACCAGTAACAATTCAAACAGTACAAAGGTTAAAAGGTTTTCATAGCCTATGAGGTATACAAAGAAGATTAAATTGTATGTGAACTAACGAACTATACTACTGAAGAACTTGAGTAGTTAGAAATCATTTAGGTGGATCAACAGATTTGTATAACTTTTGAAGACAGTTATATAACATGACAAACTAAGAGGGACTGGAGATGATAAAGTGGTAGATCTTAATTCAATGATTTAGCAGGTAATCCATTGACTTCCGAATCTGGTGGCTTTAAATCCAACCTCCAGAAGAGTTCATTGGTGTGTAGTATTGAGGTTTCTCGGCTTTCAGTAACTGTACAACATGAGGTAAAACAAATATTCAAAACAATCACTAACCTTCGTAATGAAACTGCACAGGTTGAAGACTCGGTGTCACGGTCAACACTACTTATATAATTACGTAAACAGTACGCATAATTGCTTACTCCTTAGGTAAAAATATCATGTTAAGAATGAGACTACTACAGTTGGGAATAAGATCTTCACGAGCATCTAACGAATGCTCCGAAAAATCCCATTTATCGGAAGATCGAACTTATTATCTTTGCAAGGGATTTATTCAATTGTTAAAATATCACTTTGAATATATGAGATAGCTGTGGTTTGATAGACTTGACATTGGGTGATGAGTAAAGTGAAATAAAAATCTGGTTAGCAGTCGCATATCACAGTTTAGTTAGCAGAGCACCAAGCCGGAAACCTGGTTGTTGATGTTTTTAATTCTGCCGTGGTCTAAATATTCATTTCACTTTCAATCGTCTACCGGTATAAATAAATCCCAAATTATAGTTATTGCTCTTATGATTACTGAGGAGAAAACAGTTTAATAAACAACTGTTTTAATCATTCCTAAAGTAGTCGACACTGTTTCTACACTAACTAATTCAAAAATAGAAAAAGTGAATTGACCTGATTGCGAAGAGATAACCTGAACCTTAGTTTAACTATGTACATTAGGGGGTGATTTATAAAACTATAAGACTAGATAGTTCATTTAGAAAGAAAAATGTATTTCCTTGTCATGTTTCTCAAATAAAAATAATAAATTTTTATTAGGAGAGACGAGGAAACAAATAAGATATAATTAGCATTAAAAACTTGTAAAAAGAATCGGAAAAAGTGAAAAATAATTGTTGGAGCCAAAAAAGACAGATGCAATATCATTAATAGTGGTAGAATGGAATTGGAATACATTACTTTGCATGAAGATCCCTTAGAAAAGAAAGCACAAGGAAAATTCTAACAAAGCTTTTGTAAGACAGACCGGTTTGTCATGATTTCTACATACAAGGAATGCAGAACAATTTTGAGGTTGGCTGCAGAGTACCAGGCAAAGAAGATCATTCAGTGACTGAAGCTTTGAACCTTTACTAAGTGAGGTAGCTTCGACATCTATCTTGTCCGCCAAGCCACTACTTACCTTGCAATCCGATGAGCTCCAAAGTAGTATGATATATTGAAAGAGAGCTAGGAGTGGCCAGGCCGAAAAATGACATCAATTCACAAAGTCCTTGACATGATCAGAATCGATCTTAATGTTGCATATGTATGCACCATTTGACATCCTTGAAGGTTTTCACTAACATTAAATTATTCGTTCTCTCTCCTCTTATACACACTTATAACATCTCATGTCATTCGTTTTCTACTCACCTTTTCTTTTCATTATGCTGTGAAGTATGACAGCTTAAAGTTATAAACTCCTGTGTCAGGTTCTACGTTGATTTGTTTCCCTATCTAGTATGCACCCCTTAAGCAGATTAGGTAAGTACCCAACCACTACATGCAATGAAGTGGTATAATGCAGTGACTTACCTTCTGCTATGCCATTGAATTATTCGCGTTAGACCGCATAAGCGGTTGAATAGGTGTTATTAAACTCCAGTAAGCAACATCATGGATTACTTATGCTTAGCTCATTATATCACCATTCAACTGTTTAGGAAGCTCACATAAAGATCAATCATCAGAAATATTTAGCGCCGAAAAAGATTCTTCAGATGAATCTTGAGTTCAAAAATGAAAGTGTTGCAGACATACTTGAAAAATGACTCTCAAGACCCTTAAACAGAACATACTTCGCCGCCAACCTTCGAATCCTTTTCTCCTCTAACAAAGGTTTTGGTCAATGTTTGGAAGACAGGTTGACACATCAATGTGTATACCAGTTTACCTGCTCCTGAAGAGCTGAGTACATCGGCCCTACCATGCACGCGCTTACAAAAAGCACTTATAAGCACAACCCAGCATGGCTAGAACAGAAAGTTATATTCGGCTCAATAACAGAACACCATATGAACTCAGGCCATTCGGCTCCCTTTGAGAAGTTATTCGAAATCCTCTAAAAGGTTTGATCAAATCACTGGGAGAGAGTGTGATCACGGTGCATGAGTGTGGTTGAAGCATTAGCCATTAAGAAATACACACCAGCACTGCGTGCAAGAAAGATACGTTTAATCTTTGTCTTTACCTTGACCATCATAAGATACTAACTTAGATAAATACTGCATTACGTAATTACACTTTTTATTTTCGTAATCTCTTGTTCATTTTCCTGCCTTAAACCTTCATTTGTATTGCGCAAATTACTTTTGTTATTCAATGTATTCTCAACCCTGACCAGAAATAATTCTGAAGTATTCTACCCACTGTTACGCATTCACGAATGTAACCTTGTCGTAAAAAAAATTTTATTATTCTCTGCAACTATTGTTTTATCTTTCCTCATAACCAAATGGGTATATTCCGCCATAAGGAATATCCTCCGATGGATTATAATCCTTAGATATGGGAGTCTCTGCATGGTTATAAACCTTTTGTATTTTATTAGCAAGTAAGAATATACACTTCCTTAAAAAATTACCAACCTCGCCTGGTTAACTAGTGCACTCGTTACTAGCCGGTCCAAAGCCCCGGGTAAAGAGGGAAGGTTGGGCATAAGGCTGGCAACCCTACACCCTAAAACTAATCCAACCGCTAAAGAAACTTCAAACCACAAAGTAAACATAAAAAATGAAATCAAACTTATTCCTCTCTGGAATCGGAGAGACGAAATGACGCCAGCTGCTGAAAACCTTCGGGAAGCCAGTCGCCAATGTATCTTCTCTCACTTGATGAAAGCAAAAGTAAACACAGGCACATAGAATGTCCGCATCACGTATGAACCCAGCAAGGCTGTCCAGATTGCAAAAGAGATAAGGAGGTATGGCATGGAAGTGCTAGGAATCTGCGAAAGCAGATGGAATAGAAGTGGACTCTACAAACTCTTAACTGGAGAGTCAATAACCCAATCCGATATTGTCACCCAGATGACAACCACGAGCACACTGAGTTTTCGAGAGGCTATCATGATGTCCCCAAGAATATCGAAGGGTCCCATACAGTAGAAACCAATCTCCTCCTGCAGGATCAGCATCATGATAGCAAGATTCAAACCAAAAGGAAGGAAAGTCAAAATCATGCAATGCTACGCGCCAACGAATAATGCGAATCAAGAGAAGAAGAAGAAGAAGAAGAAGAAGGAATTCTACAAACAACTGCAACCAGTAATGGACAGGACCCCACCCCAGATGGCGATATCAAAATTCTAATGGGCAACATGAATGGCAAACTGTGAGCAGACAACACAGGAAGAGAAGCACTTGATGAAATGAACGAGAATGGAGAAGTGTTTGCAGATTTCTGCGCATTCAATGATTCGGTGATTGGAGGCCAGACAGTGTGTACAAACCCAAGGATATTCACAAAGCCAGCGACATGGATTTGATTTCACCAGACACCAGGACACACTACACTAAAAATCAGACCGACTTCATCTCAATGTGAAGAAAGCGGAGACACAGCCAGCCTGCTGGACACAAGATCAGATCAGATCAGATCAGATCACGAAGAGGAGCAGATGTAGGTTCACACCACTCACTATCTAGTGCAAGGAACCTACCTTCCAAATCAAGTTGAAAGCCCTCAAAGAAGCTGGTGACAGACGACCACAGTTCAAGTTGAACAGAAACTGAAGGACGAAACTACAAACGACATCTTCACGTCGTCAGTCATCAGGAAGAAATAGGAGAAATTAGGCAACATCCCTGGGGACACCTGCTTGGAAGAACACTGAAACTCTTTGAAAGCTATGTGGGAAGAAACCTGCATAGTCATATTAGGAAGGAAGAGGAAACAAGACAAGGAATGGATCTCGACAGACACATGGAAGCCGTTGGTGGAGGGAGAGGATGATGGTGATGGTGAAGCAGAAGATGAACCAGTGCAAGGATGCACAACGAAAAGAAGAACTGAGTACAACGTATAAAACACCACAGTGGACAAAGAAGTGAAGAAGAGTGTGTGCAAAGACAGCAGAAACTTCTATGACACACTAGCAAATG